TATATTCAAGGTGCATTCGTCGTGTAGATAGCAAATGAAATGTGAACTGAAAACCTAGGAAGCACTTGACAGCTGTTTTGCATTGGTTGAGTCTCATCCGTGCAGTACGAATCCATCAACCTAACTGGGTGACCAAGTGGGTAGCGTGCTTGCGTTCTGCCTGTGAGGCTATCCCGGATTCGATCCTCAGTTAGGTTGATGGATTCGCACTGCTGATAGGAACCAGCCAGGTTGAAACAGCTGTCCGGTGCTTCCTGGTTTTTCAGTTCACGCTTCATTTGCTTCGCGCACGACGAATTCACCTTTGAAATTGAATCAAATCTTCCATTACTCACATGAGTATTTATGTGTATTCCATTGAATGTTTCAATTCGATTGCAGGCTTTTTTCAAGTCCGCTGTGACAGGAATACCTTAACGCGATTGGAACTGATTCTGACTGTGCACCCATCCCGCCATGCCCTCGGGCAGTACTAGACTCGAGTTCCCCTCAGATTAGAACCTACCACTGGTGCGTTCCCAGTGCGCCAGCAAACTCACACAAGGGTTGATCAGAATTGGCGAGTTCGAATGTCACCCACAAGGATAGTCAGCTAGCTATCGACCCTGCCTGTTCGACCGGAGTAATAGTATGCGACCTGTTATTCCTAGTCAAAAGGCTCTCACTAAATCAGATCTTCCCTGCGGGTTCAGCCCCATATGATTTTCAAATACACCGACCAGGCTAGATTTCCTTTTCAGATCACAGTTACCAACACAAGAGGACATTTGTGGGCAGAATTGATGTTGGCCATTAATTTCGAGTGCTCTCATTCAACTGTAAACGCACAAGTTTATGATAATGTAAAACAATGAAGATTTCAAATGAAACACCTTGGTCTTCACGGAGGGAAACTACCATCTAGTGCAATAGCCCGGCATTTGTTAGACTCCGATCATCATTTAGACCCATCCAAAGCGTTTCGAGTCAATGTGAGGCCTCGAAGTTCACAGACTTTGCGAGTGTTGGAAGCGATAGTTATTCATCCCTTGAAATCGCAATCATGCATTCAAAAAACATTTGTGACGCGACTGTTGTTCCCGTGGTAGTTAGGATGTCTCACTTAATACCATCCTACTACAATGTGTGACAGGACCTTCCCTCCACCACATTCACCACATTGTTTAGACCAGTTCACCTCCATGTCTGATTTTGTCATCAAATTTGCCCCCAATCCTTAACCGAACGCGCAGATCACGCAACACACTTGTCCACCACAACCTTGTTCAAATGACACGTCTCAGCTCTTATGTTTCTTCATTTTACATGATCATATAAACGGGCGTTCACAGCTGAATGAGAGTTGATGGCCAATATCCATTCCGCTCACCTTCGTCTTCTTCTATTGATGAAGTGGATAAAGGGACAAGGATGTTTTACAGTTACTTGCGTGTGGAGGAATATCTGTAAATCTGGAGTGTGATAGGTCAGAGTTAGTAACGCATTCCACATCACTGCCGACAAGTACCCGTGAGCTGAAAATGACCGTTGGAATTTGAATTGTTCATGTACTGTGTGTATATGTGTACATGGTTCGTCATGTACTCCAGAAAAATATTGATTTTCTACTTTCTCACGCTCTCTGTATTGATCTCCAATCCCAATTTCGGGTCTATTTGTATTTGGTCAAAACAACTGACAGAATGCAATTTGAACTAATCCACTGTGACTAGAAGCATTAGCTTCGAGAATCCATTATTATCCTATCATGACTTGACATTTCAGTTGTCGACGTTTGTCAAAGTCTGTTCTACTTAACCTCTTCTTCTACCCCATACTATTCTTCTACAACATACACCCTTACGTGCAGGAAACGTCACGACCTATTGTTGTTTCGGCTACTGTGTAGACTTATTACGTCACCTGGCCAATCGTACGGGGTCCGAACTTAGTCCCACTGTTTTCACCTACGAGCTGCATCTTGTCGGGGACGGACAAATTGGTGAGGAAGTCGTGGAGAATGATACACATCAGTGGACCGGGATTGTCGGGGAAATTCTCTCCGGGATGGCAGATCTGGCAGTCGCCCCAGTCTCAATCACACCGGAACGTGCGGCTCGTGTGGAATTCTCTAAACCGTTTAAATATTTGGGCATAACGATTTTGGTGAAACGAGTACGTTTATTCACTCTCTTTCTCTCTCTTCAATTAAAGTACAGTAATCAGAATACCCGATCAGGTTTTAATAACCTCACAGTTTGTTTTGTGATATTTTCTATATAAGAACAAGAATGTGCATTTTTGTGCTGAAGAATCGGAGCTATGTAAATAGACCATTGCCTCGGAACTCGAAGAAGCATGCGCGTCAATGAAGTCCACAACTATACTCCAGAAGAGAACAAATCCGTCCACTTTCTGGATGTTTCTCTGACGAACCACTCAGATGAGTTATCGGAGGAAAACTTTACCGAACTTTGGCGTGAATTTGGCAGTGCACAAGTTCCCATATCTCTGTGCCACGATAAATAAAAGTAGTATGGCACGTTCAGGAGATATTGTGAAAGACGATGGCTATCACCAACCTTGATTGGGATGAACAGATGAGACGAACTAAAATATCTCAAGCGGAAAACAAAGTATTTTGTGTTGATAAATTCATCAACTGGCCATTTGTATTTATACAGGTAGAACCTTCAGTATAGTTTGATCCTGTGCGGGGTGTATCTTATTACCCTTTGCACAGAGCGATCCCGACGTGCATCAGCAGTTTGATTGAGCTTCCCCATTGGTTACGATGGGGTAACTGGAATAACGTTGTATCCAAGGGGAAGCTAATTCAAGTTGTTGACGTATATATGATCGCTTTGTACATAGAATGATAAGATCCAGCTCGAATAGGATCAGACAATATTATATATCGAACCTTTTTATCAAAAGGGATATAGATATACATGCAATGTTCGCTTATACTGTGCGTTTTGATTATGAAATTTACCAATAAAAATCACCTGATCTTTGTGAATTATGATTCCAGACCACGATTCGTTCTTACCGACAAGGACGCTGAAGCTGACGGTACTTCCATGCGTATCTTGCTGCTGACTACATCCATTCTGCAATTGAGCCTTGCGATTTTGCTTCATCTTGGTCCAAACCTTTTTTCCCGTTGCTGAAAAACAAAACATTATACATGTTCGAGCTAGTAAATATAACTAAGTACCGTTGCACCGTTCACTTAAAATCCAAGTCAAAGTGTTATTATAGGGTGCTGGTGCNGTGCTTCGCTCGTCCCCGTAGAATATGTACACAGTTGAATCGTTTCTTGGCAAAAAATGATAAAATGTCACTTAGAGTTCCGTGTAGAAGATAATGCATAATGTAGTCTTCAAATAATATGCGTTTTTAGTTGGTTAGGGATGTGAGCTGTGATCGGGTTTCATCAACTCTCTTTTTGAAAAGTTCAACAATTGGTGCACGAACAACGTGTTCCAAGTACTGTACACTATGACGTCGGCATGCCAGTCGACACTTTGGAATTAGTAACTTGAATCAATGTCCCCTAAAGTGTATGTTGGGTGACAACGTGAGCAGCGGCCAACATAGATGGTTTGGGTTCTGCCGTATTTAATACGCTAAAATCAAACCTCCTCGAATTCGGCGGTACTGAGCAAAATATAGTCCCAATGATCGTAATCCCTCCTCATAGGTGAGTCAGTTTAATCTCTTGATCATCTTGATGGCAATCCATTGTGAACGCTCCAGCATCTTACAATCCCATTGTAGCCATGGGCTTTAACCTTGGATAGCCTACTCTGTGTACGGTCAAATGTAGACTAATAGTAAACGTGAAAATAGTGCTGATTCAATTCAATCAAAAACTCGCCTATATCAAGCCGACATTCTTCATAGCACTGGACGAAGTCCTGAAGCAATTGATCGAGCAACTTCAGTCCTCTTGAATATTTACACCTAAGTACTTCTCACTTAAGGTATATGGCAGCTGTTGATTTCCGAGGAAATACGGGAAACTACTCTTGTGGCATAGGGATAGGACTTGATTATTATCATTTGTTAGCTACATTAGTTTCACTTGCGCGCTACTTCTTATATGGTAGTTCCTTCTGATATTCGAACTCTTCTTCGGTCTTGAGTTTANATCAGCTTCCTTCGGGGAGGCTGATGATGATCACTCGGTTTAAGTCGTTGCCCTTCGCTTAGTCCGAGCCACTACCAGCGAACATTGGTGATAGGCGGTCCCGCCCACATCCGAGTCTATAGAACGCCCATGCTAGCGGAGCGTTAGTTGGTCCGCTTAGTTGCAGGGGTTGGGATGCCAGTCACCAGTGCGGAGCATCAAATCCTTTCTACCCATGTTTATCGTTTGTCTCCCAAAGATGGGTGATACAAATCATCCGCGTCTACGGAAGTGTATCCTGTATCAACTTCACTATTTGGTCTTCTCTCCTATTACGGTTATTGAGATTCTTCATTAACTCTGTATTTCTGATTTATTCACTTTTTTTTTCAGGAAAGAGCCAAATCTAACCTGGGTTCATTTTTACAACCGTTCGAAAGCACCCTCTGGGTTCTCGTCGCCTTGTCCGTGCATGCGGTCGCTTGGGTGCTCTATCTACTCGACCGGTTCTCTCCGTTCGGTCAGTACAAAACATCCAGCCTGACAAAAAAGGATTATCCCAAAGTGAAGGGTAACTGTATCGGGGCCTATCCCGTGTCGACAGAAAATCTCTGCCCCCAGGATAGCAATACTTTGGAATCGCAGAAACTCAATGCAACCGCACCATCAAATGATGCTATCAGTAATCATTCTTACAATTCGACCTCCTCAACAGACACCTCAGATGAGGGTCTGACTTTAAGCTTGGCGGTCTATTTTGCTTGGGGTGTGCTACTCAATTCGGGGATCGGAGAGGGCACACCACGATCGTTCAGTGCACGTGTGCTCGGCATGGTCTGGGCCGGATTTGCCATGATCATTGTGGCCAGTTACACGGCTAATTTGGCCGCATTCCTCGTGCTCGACCGACCGGAATCGTCCATCTCGGGAATTGATGATATGCGTGTGAGTTCTTGGCACCACCGAACTCTGTTCTGTTCTCTGTGTGTGTGTGTGTTTGCGTGTGTTCAATATGCATCTCATCCTCCGGTAAGTCGATGATCACTTCATTCTTCTTCGTGCGGCGGTGACGCTGCTGGTGATGAGTATCGACTCCCGAATTCCGGGTCCAGGCAATGGTGACACTTGCCTGTCCGATAAAAGCAAATGTATAAATTGATCAAATACTGGTGGTTCAGACGATGAAATCAATAACGGGGTGGTCGTTCCGTTGAATGAGGTAGAGAAGTAGCAGAATTTATCCGCGATAGGGAATGGAGTGAGTTGAGGTGATACTCATTTGCTTCTGTGTTCACAAATTTTTCGGTTTTTGTTATGATTCTTGTTTTTTTTACGTATAGTAGCGAATTTTGTGAAGTTCACTTGGCACCATTCATCGGTACAATGAGAAATCCGAAATGCATCGTATGGGTTTGATCAGGGACTAGTTTTGTTCATGTGTCCTGCAATGGAGCTGTGCACGCTTTCTGTCCCATCCACCAGTAACCCTTTTGGAATCTGTTCAGGGTTTCATGGTCATTGTAGTTATAGCCACAGAAATATGTGAGTTGCAAAGTGACAATTATGTGTTTTTTTGCCACATCATGACCAAATGACGTTAGGAGTGTATCGAAAAAACGATGCCCCATGTGTTGTTTTATTGTGAATGTTATAGCGGCAATGTCGGTAGAGAATTAACGTTGGTAACCTTTCTCAAGGCAGGTTTTACAATCAAAAAATCTGCCTTGAGAAAGGTTACCCACGGTAACCGAAACGTCGGCGAATATAATTCTCTACCGACATTGCTGTGTTATTAACGCTATAACATTTATAATTACAATTGTGTTTTACGTGTAGTCTCCTTGATAGGGGCACGCAACAAGTATTCTCACTCAGGACCAAGTTTCACCTATTGATGCATTTTGCTTACGCAAATCCTGATCTCGATTCGCCTCCGTAACGAAACCCCAAATTGTATTTTGTCAGTTCGCCTTGATAATTCTCGTGAACTGAGATCGGTTCATTTCGTGCGACGGAAATATGTCAGTGTAGCATCATACATCACATGTATCACGTATTTTCGGTCTTTTCCAATTGCATTCAGGAAAAGCATTGTGCCAGATTTTGAGCTGATTACCATTAGAATGTATGAATCGAGGACCCGTGAAACTAAACCACCAGGATCTGGAGATTGCGCACGTAACGTGTCTTGCTTAGGTTTCAAAAAGCCATTATGATTTGCAGTCCCCCCCCCACACACACACACTCTTTGTCGTGGTGTATATTCACGAGGCTCCCTCTATACGTGAACTTGTTACATTAAATCAAATCTGGCTAGCCAAACCTACCCCATGATCCATCCACGGCGGGTCAAGGTGGAGGGACTTGTTGGTTTTCCCGGGAGGGATCATCCAACGACTGCGGAAACCATAGTGAGACATGTTTCATTCCGATTCCACGAATCACGTGGGCTTCCTAGGGTATTCGCATACTTCGAGTCGAATAAGGGTCATAGCATATCGAGTTGGCTGTTTGCCACCCCTAACAACCAAATTTGCCTCTGGTGGACTACTGTTTTGCCATTCCGCGTCTC